GCACAACACAACACCACCAGAAAACAACAAATGGGTCAGTCTCATGATTGACAGCGGTGCGGCTACACATGTATGCCCACTATGGTTTGCGTCACAATTTCCACTACATCAACCAGCACATGGCACAGGGCCACAACTGCAAACAGTGACCAACCAGCGCATCAAGCTTCACGGGTACAGATGGGTTTGTGTGACAAACCACAGTGGACAACAGATTGTCATACCCTTTTACGTTTGTGAGGTTAAACAGCCAATTCTTTCGGTTACAAGGTTGGTGGAACAAGGTTTCCAACTTACACTGGATGACAATCCAAGAACAGCACATCAAAGGCTTCAACAGCACATTGGAGAACAGAAATGGCCTGTTCTTCCTACAAGCAGAAATCACAATATTGCCAAAAAGGAACAAAGCTACAGATACACAACACAGAACAAGGACAGATTGGCATGATAGCACCGACCACAACGCTTACACCACAAGGTCCGAACAACAACAAGGTACAAAGGCAAAAACAGTACAAGCACCCAAGCAACCAACACCACAAAGATACCCGAGCACAACGTGACACATCTCCCTTACAGGAGTTGGTGTCCAATATGCGTGCAAGCAAGAGGCAGACAGAACAATCATGCAAAGCAACACAGCAAGCTTCCAATCATACAGCTTGACTTCGGCTACATCAAAGGCCTTGATGATAGCAATGCGCATCCAGTTCTCGCAGCAATTCACATCCAGTCAGACTGTGCAGTCACACAGCTACAGCACTTCCTCATTGAATGTGGAAGGACAACACACACACACGGTTCTACAATCAGATCAGGAAGACTTCCTGACAGCGCTCGCAACAGCAGTGGCCAACAAGAATGGCAACATCACCACAAGGAACTTAGGAGCATACAGTTCACAATCACAAGGAGGAGTAGAGCGAGCACAGAACACTGTTTGCACAAATCAGAACACTCAAGGCGCAGATCAAGACAAAACTACAACAGAGACATTTCACTGAACCATCCACTCATGCCTTGGATAGTTCGACACAGTGCATACATCATGAACAGGTATGCAGTTCACAGCAATGGATGCACAAGCTACTTCAACAGAGGGATCAGGGGGCAACATCCACCACTTTGCGAGTTTGGTGAGACAGTGCGATACATGCTACCAACAGTGAAAATTTCCTAGATTCTACAACGGGATCTGGCTTGGCAAGGATACAACCGCAGGCGAATCTCTCCTTGGGATCTACAACAAGATTGTCAGAGCAAGGACAGTCAGAAGGCAGATTCTGCCTCACAAATACAATCAGCAACTACTGGACTGTGCGCACACAGGTCCATGGAAGACACCAGCATCAGCACTGCACACACCAACTCTCACAACACCATTAACAATGCCAGCTACAAGCAAGGCACCACCGTCACAGAAAGATGCAACAACTAGCACAGCAGCAGAAGGAAAAAGACAGAGCGCAACACAAACAAGCGACCAGCCAACAAAGCAGAAAAGAACAACAGAGCCAACATCACCCATGGCTACATCACCAACACACCAGAAGCGACCAGCACTGCCAGCACCGCCGCCCACATCACCCACAAGAGAGAGAGAGAGAGAGATGACACCATGGCGAAGGCAGTACAGGTAAGCAACAGCGCACCGCAGCAGAAAGACAAGCACTGCAGCGACCTACAACATCAGAACAGCCAAAGAGCAAAATGAGAATAAATACCATCGAATGAAGATGCAGAAGAAATCAACAATGAAAGGATCCTACTAGAGCCAATCATACATGACACAGAAGGCTTGGATCCACAACAGGTAGCACAAGGAATGAAGAAGGAAGTACAACAAATGAAAGATCAATCAGTCTTTACAGAGATTGATGGCAACATGATGACACCAGAACAACAAGCAAACATCATCGAGTCTACATGGGTTCTCTGGTAATGCGACCACCACTAGTTCTACAATGATGAAAACAGACACATAATGCGGCGACTGAACAAAGCCATTTATGGCCTACGATCATCACCAAAACAATGGCAAGACCACATAGCACACATCCTCACAGTCACACTTGGGCTTGTGAGATGCACAACAGAAAGCAATATTTACAGATCAAAAGACTGTCAGGTCTACATCATGATCTATGTAGACGATCTCCTCGTCATAGGAGTACAGAGCATCATCAACACGCTCTTCAGCAGAATACAAGAGACAAACTGGCTGAGACACACTGGCGACCTAACAGTTGGATCAACAATACCTTTCCTTGGCAGGAACATCTCACACAAAGGCGACTACATCGACATCAGTTTGAACAACAACTATGTTGACTTCATCCTGGAAGAATCAGGAATGACTACATGCAACCCAGCACCATCACCAGCAGTACCACACATGAAAGGTACAGCAGAAGATGAAGCACCGCGCGATCAAGAACAACACAAGAAACACAGGCGGCTTGTTGGCAAAATACAATGGCTAGCATACACACGGCCAGACATCAGCTATGGAGCAAAGGAGCTAGCGAGATCACTACAAGCACCAACACAACTTGACAACAAGAAGCTCAAGCACATGATCAGATACCTTAAAGGAACAAGGTACTCGCGACACAACCTGCGACCAAAGATACAAACACAGGACAAAAGAATTCCACTCAACATTGACACATACACAGGTGCCACCTGGGCATCGTGTGAGACAACAAGGAAAAGCACAACAGGATTTGTACTGTACTTCTTTGGAGCAGCAGTACATTATGGCAGCAGAACACAAGCAACAATAGCACTTTCATCAGCAGAATCAGAGCTGTACGCGATTGGTACAGCAGCACAGGAGAGCCTCTACATCAGCAACTTCCTCAAGGAAGCATTTGAAGTACGCACCAACATCAGGATACACACAGACAGCAGCGCAGCAAAATCAATAGCAATGAGAGAAGGTACATCAAACAAAACAAAGCACATCGAGCTGCGACACCTCTTCATACAACAACTTGTCAAGAGCAAAATCATCACAATGCACAAAGTAAAATCAAAAGAGAACCCAGCTGACATACTGACAAAGTTTGACAGCTGTGACACCCTCAACAAGCACTTGTACAAACGTTGGCCTGTGAGGTCGCGCCAGTTTCACACCAGTAAGTACAGTAGTCAGCACAGGTTGTTAAACAACGGGTGCACAGTTCACACATGTTTGTCTTACTACCTAACAGCCGGCATAGTTACAATCTTTTTGGGTAGATACATCAGCCATGGATCGACCCTGTCTTTAAGACCACTATGTCTTTTGCCCAACATCTTTTGGGAGCTACATTTGCATGTGAGTTTGCACGTCTCAAACAATGTTTTGATACATCTCTGCAGCCATTTGTTTACATCAGTTTGGTCTGGAGGTACATCGGGTCCATACATCGCAATGGACATGCAGCCAGTTACACCTCTGCCCATGATCGCACATGCCCGTTTGCCGGAGAGACAACGACCGCATGACCATCGGCTTCATGCACAGACCGTGGCATTACAGCCTGGCACAACCTCTCGTTGGCCAATCACAGCAATGCGCTGTACATCGCCCTCACCACGGAGGAGTACATCTCCTTTGTGGGAGACACAACTCCGACATCGTTGGAGAAGATCGGACACATCCCGGGCAACCTACGTTACCCGTCATTCGACTTTACAGTCCTCACAACCAATCCACATGATGCGGTGATGACAACACTGTTTCTGACGAGCGAAGGCAAGTTGGCTACAGCGAGCACAACAGACTTCTACATCATTGCGTGGCACTGTGGTTTGACAAAGCTTTTGGATCTTACATCAAGGTCCAAAGCAAATACATTCAACAGAGGCTACATGTTGCAGCAGACGCAGATCTACAGCTACAGCATTTGGTTGTTGAGCTCTACAGAGAAGGACAGCCTTACAGCTTGGCGTTTGGTACATCGCACATGTTTCTTTGACATCTACAACCAGTACACCTAGGAGGCAGGCTACATGCACTCGTACAACGCCATCCTGTCCCTCGACAGTTTGCTTGCAGCTGACAGTAAGGACACCATCTACGCTGGACTTTCACAAGCTCTTGATTACACAGGACTTTCTTCGTTGAGCTACATGTCCTCACAGCATTCCTCGGCAGTGATTACAAAGATGAGTACCATGGTTGTCCAGCAATCTACTTGGGTACTGCTGGCATCCAACAATCAACTGCTGCAACAATGCTATGACAAAGGCATACTGACTCACGCCTTCACACGTACAGGCCCAAACACCTGAGCACCAGTGCACATTTCTGAAATCAATAGCTGTCACAGCCTTCACCACCTGTATGTTGTATGTTGAGGTATGGTTTCAGAACTATGATCTAGGGTCGAAACGGCAAGCAGCGATGCTCATGGTTCACTTTTCAGGAGTACTTGTGAGATGGTTTGGCGTGCAAGGGTTGAACGCCATGTTGATCCCTGATCAAGTCCTTCAAGTGTAGCACCTATGAATCAAGTACACAAACCTTTGGGCATTGTTCAGGATACCTGACCTGCATCATGGATGCTCCGATTTATGCTTGCATAGTATTCCAACGTATTAAAGGCACATCCGGTTCTGCTTGACCATTCGAGCCTCGCCATTCCGGTGGTCTGAGAAGCCCGAGCTCACAGGATAAAGGGTGTCATCTACATCCAACCTGAGCGCGTCGGCGGTTAAATCTTGGCTGATTCCAACTGCTCTGAAATCCGAACAATCTGCTGCCAGGGCACAGTATGGCGTCGATGTCCACCATGACATGAAGACAATCCAGAACAAAATGAATAAGTCTCGACAAATTGTTTGGCAGCTGGATAGGACTGCACGCTTCTCCTAAATGTTAGCATTGCTACAGCGTTCAAGGTTTGGCAATTGACGGCTGCAGAGCGGACTTGCAGCATGTCGAAATCTGACTAGCGTGACTTGGCTGCAAGCAGCTGATCCCATCTCAGCGACAGATCGCAGGGCACGACGGAGTGCCACAAAAGGCTTTCAGCTTCGTGTCTCTGCTCGGAACCTCGCAGGGTTCAAATTCAAAGCTCCTGTTTCACGTTGCAGTGCCCGGCGTGGGCTGCAAAGCCAAAGTCGATGATCTTCACACACTCCCGGCCTGGCGTGCCAAGTTCGCAAGGAAACAGATCCGAGCGACAAGCAAAACCAAACAAGACCAGGTCACTCCTATCAAGCAAGAGGTTCTCAAGCCTGACGGGGTTCGGCATCTGAGCTCATGGCGCAACATGCAAGTGTGGCCAAGCCATCAGACACCAAACTCCCCGACCCCTTTCAGAGAAAACTCACTGGTGTGTTCCTGTCAATTTTATCTCGCCTCCTAGATGTGTGCATTACAAGACTTGCAACTGCCCGGCTTCAGATCTCGATGCGCCACTAGTTGGTCATGGCAATAGTTCACGCCATCCACAACCTGCCATTGGAGAATCAACATGGGGTCGCTCGATGCTCTGAACAGCAGCTTTGCGTGTCTAAGCATATGTCATGCTTGGTCTAAAAACAGCATGGGTCAGCACACAATCTCTCGCACCTGGCCTGCCGGTAGTATGACCGCGCAGCCTGTGTTGCTGTCAAAGAATCTAGCCAATTCATTCTTCTTACATCCGTCTTCCCTTCGCGCCACTATTCTAAGGGTTGATTCCCCATTCTTTCGTCACACGCGCACTCAGTGCAACGATCCGTCTTTCCAGCCAGTTTCGGCTCAGTTTTTGTTTTTCTGTTTCTGCAGCGAGCACTGACGCATGCAGAAAATTGTCCCGCGGGCTAGGGGTAGGGCCAATAGACTAGACAACCCCTTCCCCTGACCTGCCAAAGTCATGCCGCTGCAGGCCATCGATCTTACTGGCAGCGTTCTGTTTTCAGGGGCATCGTTCTTTCCCTACAACCATCGTTCTTTCCCCAGGGCCATCGTTCTTTCCCCAACCATCGTTCTTTCCCCAACCATCGTTCTTTCCCAACAACCATCATCATTTGCCTTCTTTCCCCACCCCATCATTCTGTCCCCCGGCATCGTTCTTTCGATCAAAGATCAGTGTGTCCCTGTTATTTGTTTTTCGCTTTTGCATCTGTTTGGGTGAAAATTTGAAAAACAGAAAGAATGGGGAAGCATTGTATGAGGCCATATTTTCGGGTAAAACCCATTCTTTCCAAGCATCCAATTTTCTAGGATTTCCGGTCTTTCCTCCCGAAAGTGATGACAACTGCTGCGTGGGCTGCTGCGTGGGCCCCCATTGAAAGAATGAGGAAGTGAATTGGAAGCTTGTGGAAAATTGGATCGCGGGCACCACTTGGCAATGATTCATGACATGGATGTGGGCAAAACAAGAAGGGCAAGCTGACCGCCCCTGCTTGGGAGAGGCCTGGTGGGCTGCTGGGAGTCGGCAAAGGGAGAGCTTCAGAATGGGGTGGTGTGGCTTAGAACTATGGTGGTCTGGACATTCATCGGGATTCATGGCATCTCGCGCATGCAACCAGCCAACATCTCCACGCGCCTGCTCTGAGAGCTTGTGGCAGGGCTGACGGTGCGCGAAGGCCCGCAAGGACTCGCCGTCCACGAGCTGCGCACAAGTCATACCACACGTCTGTACTGTTACGCGTGACGTGTGCGCCAGAAGATTCATGCTATACCAGTACAGGCACACACTGCACATCGCCATACACAAGACCTGCCAGTGTTGCGTGCGTGTCATCGAAGCATGGAGGTGCAAACGCCGTGCATTGGGCTCAAGAGCTGCGAAAGCTCCTCAACCGTGTGTACAGCGCCCTCGGGTGAGGCCGCTTGCTTGAAATTGAAACACACTCCCCGCAAGCAAACGGCTTCAGTCTGGCCAGGTTCACGATCCAAATCTCCAAAGTGCCATTGGAGGTCAGTTCTGGCCTGCAGGGATCGGAACCTTGCCGCAGGTGAAGCAGCTCGCTTTGCTTTGTACACTTGCCAGGCTCTCAAATGATGGGAGCGGGCGCCGAAGACGCTGCAGGATATCCCGCTGCCTGCTGAGCTGGACAAATGTGAAAGGTTGCTTCAAAGATTTAAGCAATTGCCACATCCCCCAATAAGGACATCCAGCCCATTTCCACCACTTTGCCACGCTTCCTCACAGGTTGAACTACCAAACCACCTTGTGGCGAAGATAGTGTGTTTCCCTTTATCAGTCACGTGTACGTCTTCAAGTCTTGAAGTTGACAGAAATACGTGGCCTCTGGCACTGGCGGCTCCAAAAGGGACGACTCGGCCGCGGACTCTGCAGACTTCGCCTTTTTTGCGGTTTCATGTCCGAACAAGGCAACATGCGCGCGGCTGACCCTCGAGGTCTGTACCTCTCCACCAAGGATGCTCTTCGTCCGTCCATAAGCTTCGCGGAGGCTCGCGATCTGGGCCTTTGGGCAAATTACTTTGCCCTCGACTGGTCATCTCATAACCCTCGTAAGATCTTGCCAAGTGTCACAAGACCATAACCCGGCAAATCATCAGGGGCCCCAGTGCACTTGTTGGGGATTGTGCTGAGGCAAATTTGCGCGAAACATCTAGCATATTCGGTGCACTTTGCTCCCAATGCCCGATTGCTGCTTCAGCAGGGTCCGGCGCTGAAACCCCTCCATCAGCTTGACTATAACCAGGCGATGGAGTAGTGGAGGGCCACGCCCCGCAAATAAATTGCTTCATACATACCCCCCACCCTACATTTTTTTTCATCTTCCATCTTCTACCCTTATTTGTTTTCATCATTTTTCTACATTCCTTTCTGTCCATCTCATCCGTTTTTTATCATCATTTTTCCAAAATTTTCGCCATCCTTTTCTCCTTTCTCCTCGCCTCATTCATTTCACCAACTACCCTCCAAAATGTCATTTCCTCAATCTCCTCACCTCATCCATTTCAAAAAAATAAATTTTGCAAAATATATTGCAAAAAATATTTGTCATCAAAAAAATATTCGAACTGTCTAAAAACGATTTGTCCATTTCCCGGACAAAAAATAGAACAGCAACAACATCACTCCCTCCTTCGTTTCATCAGTTTCATCATATATTTTTTTGGGCGTGGTGTCCCTTGTAGGATTTTATCTTCAATATATAAAACGCTATACTTACATTATAATTATAACATATAAGGGTATAAATGTTATAATCATAGTATGGTTATGAAATTAATAATAGCTACCAACACTTTCATTATCGCTAACTTCTTCTTCGCTTTTGTAGAAGTCTTCAGTGCCTAATATATGATAAAACCGGATATGCCATTCTGCTTCTGTTCTAAATGGCATCATTGATAAAAGTGCTCTCATAGCGTCATAATATTGACTTGTCAGTATTTTTCTACCATTAATGTTCATATCATCAATATTATTAATAAACCATAGATGCTTAAACTTATATTCAATATTAAATATGTAAGAATAATCGTAAAATGTTTTTAATTCTAAGTATATTTCATATTCAGATTTTTTACCATCTAAATATTCAGTCAAAGACATTATCCAGAATGGATTTCTTTTTACCTTTTCCCAAGTTGGAAAAGGGTGTTTAATGATATCGTTATACCTGTAAGGACATATATCATAACAGTTATATGACATAATATTCAATCTAATTTCTAATGGTAAATTGTTAAGTTCCATTTCTATTATAATGTATAGTGTGTATTTCTTTAAATACTTTTTTACAAGAAATAAAATTAAATATTGAAATATAATTATAACATATAATATTTTACATGTTATTATTATATTATGATTATAATTTAAGTTCAGGATAATAATTTAATTGATATATCTTACCTCTTTCATACATCATTTTAAAAATAAGATTAATATCTCTCACTGTATTTTTAACATTAAACTGTTCACTTTCAATATATGATTTTATGACTTTTTTTACATCAACGCCGGGTTTACTATAATAAATCAACATCCATAATATGTCATTAATCATTTCACACTTTTTCTTACTGATTTTAAGAAACTGTTTAACATAATCGTAAGGTGGTCTTTCATACACAGTTAAAAATATCAATATTTCATCTTCAACATTTCTTTCATCTATATTTTTAAACGCCAAACAATTTTCTATTATATTTTGATATCGTCTCCATCTTCTACAAGTTCTACATATATTTTCTTCGTCCAAAGAATAATCAATAATATTATTAACTATTCCATTAGGTAAATTCAATTTATATAATTCCATATTTTCCTTTTTGAAGTGGCAACAATCGTAGCATTTCTTATTGATATAATTATTGATTTCGGTTTCCATCATTTCTATTATAATATATATAGTTTTTATTTCTTTAAATACTTTTTTACAAGAAATAAAATTACATATTGAAATATAATTATAACATATAATATTTTACATGTTATTATTATATTATGATTATAATTTAAGTTCAGGATAATAAGTTAATTGATGATTATTAAATTGTGTAAATATCTTACGTTTGTCATGCATCAGTTCAAAAATAATATTAATAGTTTTCACGGTATTTTTCACATTAAACTTATTGCTTTCAATATATGATTTAATGTCTTCTTTTAAATCAGACCCCTCTCTTCTACGATGTAACAACATCCATAAAATGTGGTCAATCAGTTCATACCTTTTCTTACTGATTTTGAGAAATGCTCTAACATAACTATAAGGTGGTCTTCCATACACAGTTAAAAATATTATAATGTCGTCTTCAACATTTCTATTATGTCTTCTTTTCAGATTTAAATGACATCTGATTAATTCTTGATTATCTCTCCATTCCTGACAAATTTTACATTCATCTTCTTCACTCAAAGCATAATCGATAATATGATTAACTATTCCATTAGGTAAATTCAATTTATACAATTCCATGTTTTCTTTTTTTAAGTGGCAACAATCGTAGCATTTCTTATTGATATAATTATTGATTTCGGTTTCCATCATTTCTATTATAATATATATAGTTTTTATTTCTTTAAATACTTTTTTCCAAGAAATAAATTTATACCTTTAATAACTCATGTCTCAAAAATGCCCTGTCATAATTTTCAATATAATAATATTCCTGTCCTAACTTCTTTTCAATCTTTGCTATTTTGTATGTTTGTTTAGTCCATACTCCTACTCTCTCCTTTTCATTCGGTCTCCTTTTCCTGAATATCTTAACTTCATTTTCTACATTTAAATCTGGATAAACTCTATTTCTGTTGGCTTTCATACCTAAATTTAAACTCACTTCTAATTGATGTTTAGGCTTTCTTGCTTCTGACGGTGTTAAGCCGTGCGAAGTGTGCTTTATTCCATTGTTATAAGTTAATATAATCTCGTGTATGTAGTCTGTCCATTGAATAGCCTTTCCTTTTTTCTCATCGTTTTCAACCCTCTTATACAAGCTATCTTTAAACGTCCTTATCGCCCTCTCCGCGAATGCTGGGTGACCTCTGGTTCTATGTAATTCTATTTTTTCATCTTTCAAAAAATCTATAACACTTTGATTATTATAAGCTCCTTCATCGTCAATATAAATTAGTTTGGGCTTTCCATCCATTTTTTTAATACATTCCATCAGTCCTGCTAAAATGTCCGCTGGCTGTTTTGACATAAGCGGGACAACAACCATATACTTAGAAAATATGTCAATACACATCATGCCAACTTTCATTTTTTGTTTAGGGATATCATTAATGAAAAATAAATCAATTTGAAACTCATAATATGCGTTAGGAGCTACAAATGAATTCTGTCCTCTTGGCTTGGCTTTCTGTTCTACATTCTTCCTAAAAAACTCATTAATATCGTTTATAGTTATTGTGTTATCCTTTTTTCTTGCTTCTTGTAAAGTGCGGTTCTTTGACCCGAAGCCTCCCTTATCATAATAAACATTATTAATAATATCTTGCTTAGATGCCATATAAAATAAGATAGATATTATTTTTCCCGGCGATTACAGTTTAAACAGTAAGATATACAGTTTTCCTTATGATGGGCATAATCGTTGTTTATTCTTTGGGCTGTCATATTGCTATTTATTACTCCATTATTTATTTCTATGTCAAAATCTGAACTGCATTTATTACATCTGGTATTAAGCCTGTCAAATAACCATTTGACATCAATATATTGTTTGTTGTCTATCTCTCTCTCTGCTTTCATGTCTTGTAATTTATATTGTTTAATCTTATGTTCTAAATATCTGGTTACTTGTGCTTCATTTAGATCAGTATCATCTACGTCTGCTTTGAAAAACTTGACTTTATTGATATCTCTGCATCTCGTGAGGGCTGTCCAAATCCACTCACGGCTGACCAAATGTGATTTATCCCATTCGTGTATAGTAATGCTTTTATCTAGAGAAGCCCCTTGAGACGAATGACATGTAGCACAATACGCATGTATAAAGTGCTTGTCTAAAGTCGTGGTGTTTGTCATGAATATAGTTTTACTTTTGATATCTTGGATTTCTACTTTCCAATCATCAATACTAATAATTTCATAAGTAATATTTACATTAAACACCTGCCCCATTTCCTTTTTATAAACTCTGCATATCACATGCTCTCCAATTTCATATTTATCTGTCTTTCCTAAATTATTTCTTACGGTCTTGCTTACCCATTTGCACCTAGCATTAGTATAGGCTATGTTATGCTCTCCTTCCATGATGTCGCTTGTAGTTTCAAAATGTTTATTTACTATTTCCTTAATGGGCAGTTTATTTTCCAAATGTCATTATATATATCATTCAATTTAATTTTATCTTCTTCTGTCTTAAGTCTCTTAGATATCTTAAGATAAATCTTATATTTAAATATTTGATTAAGACAGTTGTTTAAATATGTCTCGTGGTCCTGGGTGTTAGTTAAATCAGCTATAGGTTTCAACTGCTTCCCGTCAGCAGTTCCTATAATTATCTTCTCTGGGTACGTATCCTTAAACTCCCTAACTCTGTTCAAAATATAATTGCCCGCCATACCTAGCTCATCAAACACAATACAATTATAATCAGAATGGTCAAATGTCGGTAGTCTTTCTCCAGCTTCTATTGGAATACTGAAAAACTTGTTTAATGTTACGGCGTCGGCTTCGGTTTCTTGCTTCTGCTTGTTATTAGAACATACGAATAACACATTATAACCTAGATTTTTCATATATTCGCCTATATAACTCTTGCCGCTTCCAGCCAGTTTTGCTTTTATCAACACCGGATTACACGACACAATTTGCTCACAAATGCTTTTGGTGTCGTATTCGTCTTTAACACGAATTTTTACATTATTGTAAGTCGGAATTTCTGATAACTCATTAACCTTAATTTTGTATATATCGCTCGGTGGTGATACTTGTTTATTATCTTCAGCTCTCCATCCTCCCCTTTTGGTTGAAAACTTAATCAATGTTTT